GCATGGAGAATGTCAAATCCTGAACTTGTGATAGCCGCAGCATAATCAAATAACTATTGGTGCTCCGGGAACACCGGCTTTCCTCCGCTACGAAAACCTGGCACATCCTTTAATGGCCATTGCTGTTGATAGGATGTAAAACACAAAGAAACCAAAAGTCTAAATTTCACCGGTACATGGGTAATCGTTAGAAGGGGGTGTAAGCATTTCTGTTTCTGATGAGTATATCAAACAATAATGCTGTATTTGTAAATCAAGATGTGAATTATGACTACCTATGATTACCCATTGAACAAGCGGAAATTCCATATGTTTCGTCTTAAAACAAAGAACAAACTCGTATGTTTATATATGTCCAAATGACAATGTTTTTAATTAAGGTCTCATTAAGTTGACGAGAACACATCTGAGTTCATCAATATTTTACACAGCGAATGATGTTTGCAATTAAAATGAATGTATTCCCTATATGGTAATAAGTAATGAGGTTGTACCCAGTATCCTTAAGCTATAGAATTGTTTATGGCTCAATGATTGGAAAGATCAGCGAATTCTTTCAAGGTTTCTGTGTCGTTATGGAGTATGTTCGCATATGACATAACCAATATTGTTTAAGCTGTCACATTGGTGTTCATTGTATTCACATATGACACATGACACTTTGTTAATTCCATGGTTGGCTATAGGCCTTCATTAAAAATGTATGTTCTGTTAGATTACTGTAATAATTTGGTACAATAAATCATTTTGACAAGCTGTATTAAACAATTTTACTTATACGTATGTTTATTTGTTTTATCAGGGGTTTTACGTTCTCGGAACGGTTATTGTCATAGGAACACGCTGTAAACAGATGATGATGATGATGATGATGATGATGATGATGATGATGATGATGAAGCACAGTCGATGTGCAATCCTACTGTTGAATTACACTGATCTGAACCCGGCAGCATGCCGCTCCATCTTGTTGCATTATTCTGACAGTTGCGGCTAGGGAGACACCGTCAAAAGCGAACACGAGGTAGAATGGAAACACAGAAATCATAAGTGTTGAAAAGAAGTTTTGGTTTTACTGATGTTTCCTTCGAAGAATTCACAGAATGTCCCAAATTTTACAGGGGCCCCATATATACAAATACACTAATAAAATACAATGTTATATGTGCACCATGAAAAGTGGTGATGTTCAATAAATGTATGTTATTCTATTGTTTTACAAAGAACTAAGAGTAGGTGGACCTTGATGGGGGATCGGGAATACATTTCACATTTCTTTTATTTTATTGCATCAGTCACATGTTGGCCTCGTAAGCGGTTTGAAAAAAAAAATTGAAAAAAGGAACTAGGTATATAGGGATTAAATCTGGATTTTTCCAGTGTTCAGGCAAGTATGAACGGGGGAAAATTTACTCATACATATCATGAGCGGCCGTAGCGAAGTGAAGGCCGTTCGTGTGAAGTGTGAAAGTAAATTTTGACACCACTTTTTGACCACTGTACACGCGATTGCCTTTGTCTGCGAGTAACAATTGACCCGACATAAATGTCATCTAGCACAAGGCCGACCATCTCACAGACGCCGTCCGACTGTATGATCTGGGGATATATGATTACTCTTTCCTTAAAAGCTTCTGGCAAGAATCCGTTTCGAAGATTCGTATGCGAATGAAAACGAAAAAAACATGGAGTAGACTAGGGCTTTGAAATTGTCTTAGGAAGTTTGCGCAGAGTTGGTGGATTGAAATGATTGCTATACCTGTCTTGCGCAGCGGTTGTTTGTTTGTATGAATTGTAAATTGAACACATGTCATGGTGTGTGCAACGTTTATTGTCGATGAACAGGCCTGAAGCATGCCAACTGCACGGCTCCCGTCAGCAATACGCAAACGTGACATTACGCTACATGTTTTTATTCTGTGCTGTTTTTGTGTCGCTACACATCTTAGAGCTTGCCAATACATTCGTATCTGGAGTACAACATGCGTATCATCGGCATGTGCAAAGAGGGATGGTTTACCCTGTCATGGATAGGTGGAGAAACAATATGTTTCTTATATATTCTGGTCCCAAAAGTCAAAACTCGTTATGTATTGGAAATGCAGTAAATTCTAACTGTCAAAAAACGATATTAATATTGGTAAAATCAAGAATTTGACTTAAGTTTAATTTAAATGTTACCATGAAACGACGACACTGGTGTGTATCCAGCGGATGTAAAAATAACGTTCATAGAACTAACATGCGTAAAAGAACCTCTGATGTTGACCCTAGCCTAACAACGACGTCGCATGGAAGCAATTAGGAGTTTCATGGACCACATCGTGGTCCTGATCTCAGCTGATACATATGGGACGTCAGACCAAATGAAATCTTAACCTGAAGAAAAGTTCTTGGAAAATATTACATTTTATCCCAAGTCAAAATAAAAGTATTGGGGAGACAACTTCATTGTAAGCACTGATATTTTACCGTCGTTTGAACAACTTCGCCTGGAAATAATAACGTAAGTGCGTTTATTATGGTGGAATATATAACAATATACCAAGGGTGAGTAAAAACCGAAGCCGATTGCGGCCTGAGTTGATTATTTTTCAAACATTTTCGAATTCCGAGTTATATATTCCATCATTATTTAGAACAATTATGTTCATTATATCTATTCTACCAAGTTAAATGCCATGAAAGTCTGTTTTCGTCTATACCTCAGTATCCATACGCCTATGATAAGTTAGGTAACCACATAATCTAATAATTTTGATAAGGCTGTTCATTTGCGCGCGCTAACATTTGTCACGTGATGCCTGTAAGTCTTCATTTCACAACAAACTTAGCGTTTATATCATTTCTGACTCTGTGTGCAGTTGTCTTATTTTGTGAATTGACACTGATGTCATGCTATATGCCAGATGTTCATTTCAATCAATTAAAGCCATCGATCTTCGTCATCGCTCGTCAACATATGAAATCACATTTGACAAATTTCGCGGTTAGTTCAGCGGAACATTCTGACCGTGAGTTTGACAGGTTTTCAGTAGAATTCGAGGTTAAACAAATTTTTGTCCGCTTGCAAATCTTCAAAAGAAATGTGTTGCAAAATTAAATGCGGTTAACCCGCGACTTGTTTGTTTACCGGTACATTTATGGGGGAGGGTTTTAGAAGAGCATTGGTCTGTTGGAAAATAATACATGCACGCGCATAGTCTATCGTCAATTCTACCTTGTTTGCAAACCAATGACACCTTTTATAAGGTTAATAACCAATGATTAATTAAGAAATTATCAACATGTGTGCATGCATTATGGTGGAATATATAACGAGGGTGAGAAAATGTTGGTAAAAATAATTAACGAAGTTCGCTTCGGCCTGAGTTAATTATTTTTCCAACATTTTCGAATACCGAGTTGATTATTTTTATTCTACCACGTCAAATGTAACTAATTGTAAAGTTTTGATGTCTTATAAGGCGACATGACCTAGATAATTCGATATGTAAATTAGATGCTGTTCTTTTGCGCGTGCAAGATTTATCACGTGATCGTGTTGCTTCGTTTTAACTTGATCAATGTCGCGCCATTTTTTTTCAATGCGTAGGGTTTGGATTCCCGGATTGCGTTTACTTTTAAAACCATCATTATCGTACCGATATCAAGCGGATTTTCTTGGAAGTGCTAGTGACACAACATCATACGATAGGCCTGACATGAGTTGGAATATTTAGTTGGTTGCCATGACGTGATGTAAAGTCGCTGACCGGCTGATCATGACGCGAGCTTCACCTCCACCGACTTCACCGAATAGCTGTGTTTTGCAACCACTGTTCAGACCGATGCTACTTTTTGCAACATTATTCTTCACACACGCTATGTACACTGTAGGCGAATGCTCGACATCACTTTGATATTTTGAAAGCAGACGACGTTTTGCAGACCAGAAACAACTGAACACGTGTGACGTCAGATACGATGTTTATTTCAATCAATCAAACATTGGCACGCTAACGACATCGTTCGTCAAAACATGAAATCAACGCTTGACAGTACATACACACACTGCACACATCGTGAAATGTACGGCACTACCCAGTGAAGTAAAAACAGAAGTAATTAATAATTTACCATTTTGTCTTCAGACCTGTACATTTTAAATGTCAATAATTAATAAACCGTTTTCACTGCACGGACCACCATACTTTAGGTCTATAGATCCGTGTTATCTGTTGAATGGCTGGCCTGTCAAATATTTTGATCCCGCCGGACAGTTATGCTATTTTTGTTAATTCATGATAAAATACGGGGAGGTTGTTGGAACAGCATGCGTGCGCACTATTTCACGTGCATTGGTTATTGGCACGCGCATGGTATATCTCTCAATAATGCACTCTTTTTTACCAATGAAAACCGTCGTTACATCACAGACGTGGTAGAATGGACGATAGACTATGCGCGAGAGCGTGTATTATTTTCCAAGAGACCAACGCTCTTCCAAAACCCTCCCACGCAAATGCACCGGTAAACAAGCGAGTCAAGGCGACAGGTTTCATTTGTCGAATGATGAGCTAGGTACCCTCATTTATTTCTGTATATATTTTGCTATAACACATAACGAAAAAAGCTTTTTAACATCTAGATCTACTTCAAACCTTCCAAGATCACTGTCAGAAATGCTAGAAACGCACAGCTAGACACATAGGCATCATGTGACACGCGAAAAACAAATTTACAAATATGCCTATATTGTATCTCTATCTTAGATTTGTTGATCAATAATAACCATTAACTTACCATATTGTTGTATACATATTGTTAACCATTTTAAATGTATGTCTGTGTAATATTATGGTTAGTAATCAAATTGTAAATAGACCATTCCCTACCTGATATTAGACTTAACCAGAATAGGCCAATCATACAGCACTTATTACAACATAATGAATAGTTACGTCATCACTTAATCAAAATATAAGGCCAACCTCGTTTCCATTACTGTTATTGGCTGGGTCTAGCTACACACTTAACTGTTTGGTGTCGGTGAGAGTAATCCGGCTAAATTCATATTAACTTTGCGGAAGAGAAACATGGATATAAATATTACTGCCTACGTGATATTTCTATGGATTGCTTTTAATCAAACAATGGGTGAGGATATTCATTGTAGCCGTCATGATGCTTCCAACAAGTATTTATCGGAGGGGTTCCTTACTTTTGAAAGCCTTGGTTTTCAACAGTGTTCAAAGCAGTGTTTATTAAGATCACGCTGTTTTATTCTAAGCTACAACATTCCAAACTCTACATGTGCACTTGGAACTAATGATACATCATTAATAGACACTGCTCCGTCTTTTAAACACGTTATTAGAAGGAGATCGGAATTATCGGCATTTGAAAATGTTTTGTTAAAATCTTGTGGCGGACATTCTTGTGAAATAAAAGCAATATGTATAGAACTTTCCAGTGGGAGGTCTACCTGCGTACTTGAATGTGGTAGGCCTCCGGCAATTGCAGGTGCGAACTCGCCTACTTCAATTGACAGCGGACTGGGTTCCCGATTGACCTATAAGTGTAAACCTGATCATGTTTCTGCAGGAAAGTCAGACATCATGTGCCATCCCGACGGACATTGGTCAACGCCATTGCTTACGTGCACTTTCTGCGACCCCGGTAATTTCACATTTGAAGAAAGTCTAAATTTTTGTTACATGGTGGAGAACACAACGACTGTAATTTATGACGATGCGAAGACACATTGCAGTACCATTGGAGGCAAATTGGCAAAACTGGACAGCCCGGCCAAGGTCAACTTTATGGTAACCATCACATCAAACGCGAGTATAAACAATATTTTCTATGTGGACGGAAATGACCGGTCGGTGGAGACAGTGTGGGTGTATGATGACGGCACACCGGTCGATATGGCTTTGTTTTCCTCGGGGAGACCGTTCTCTAATAACAATACCAATGACTGTGTCGCATTTCATAAAAAGTATAAATCTTTTATTGATGAAAAATGCGGCAAGGTAAGACATTTTATATGTGAACTAGCTTCAAATGTGTAGTGTTTGTCCTATCATTTTTGTGGACATGTATATAATGTATAATATGATTGATTTTTTTTCTAAGCCGCGCTTGTTTCGATCGTTATCATTTGTGCATTTAAAGTAATATCTTACTGTTGTTGTTTACTTCTGTATAAACCATATATCAAACCATAAATGTTCATGTGATTCAAAAGTGTTTGTATCTATATATTGAATTGCAAATATCGATGTGATCAGTGTGTATACAAATATTGCATAAATTTAGTTCACTGAGGCCATTTATTATTGGTTGGATGTCCGGGAAAATAGACTCCTGATTTGATAAAAAAAATATTGTTAAAGGATTAAAAATTGTATTATAAACAAAAGTTTTTTCAATATTGAGTTTGACCAACAACGTATAGGTACAGCGATGTGTAAAAATGTGACTCCCGTTTATAAAACACTCGTTCTTTGATACTAAGAAGAACCATTTCACGAAAAAACGGTGAAAATTATGTTGGTATAATTTTTTCAAATTACTTTAGAAACAATCTTTGTGTGTCTTTGCTCGATGATCCTGAATTTTAAACTCTGAATCAGGTTGCTGGCCTTTTTTTCCCTGCGCCTATCAGGATCCTTTCTTTGATTGCTTTTGTGGGCTCTGCTGGTAATGACAGTTTGCTTGCGGTCTTATCTTAATGAAACCATGAGGCGAGGTTCCCTATCTCGTCTGTTTCTGTCCAAAGAGAAGGGTAAACGGGACATTCTCTCACAATCTGTCTCCAGGTGGATCTGTGGTTATCCGTCTTGCCTATATGATAATTCCTATAAAAAGATCCGTGGGTTGTAAAAGCCCAGGGCTCATTAAGGTTCGTGCTCACTAGCTACGCCTTGGGCTCTCCTTACTGGGTCCTCCTTTCAGGAAGTCATGTCTGCTGCCTTTTGGCGTGCTCAAACTATTTAAACTGACTTCTATTTGAGATATTGGTCATCCGATTCCGATGACCTCTTTTCCTTTGGTCCTGCTGTGGTGGCTCAGCCTGTGGCTGTTCCCCATTCGCCACGTCAGTTATCCACGGGCCTTTACCCTTTTACATATGCCCTGTGTTAGATAGATGTTTCGCTCGAATGTTCGAGTCACCAATACGGTAAAACGAATTTGCATATAAAAGCTATGTTTCGGGCAGTTCGCTAAAGGCTATTTACTTTTAAGAATAATTTGATAATATTTTGTATTACCTATATTTTAGTCAATTGACTTCATTGCCACTTTTTAATGTACAATACATTAGTGTATATTTTGTTAATTTTTATCCTTTTGCTATTTCAGAATTGTATGTATATTTGACTATGATAGTGCTTTAACCATATCCTTGAGTAACACTTGTGGGACATGCAAGCGTCCATTATCAATTTATGTTTTAGGATTACTAAGTTTTAAATCACAAAGTATGTGATGAAGCTATATAATTTACTTTTTCTTATCTAGATAGAACATGGTGACCTATGACTGTGATATTATGTACATGTATACTTATCTTACACAGATCCTGTATTATTTTATAATTGTCGTAAATTTGATGTAAATAGTTTACATTTTCTCATGCTTGACCATATGTTAGACGAGTCTTTGACTCAATATGTCATCGAATTGAAATAAAGACTTTTATGATGGTACAATGTAGTTATTACAGAAAGGAAAAATGAGCTTTCTCTTGTAAAACTAATTTTCACGATGTAATCATTAGTTACCATTACTTTACATAGTCCTTTCCTCTTATATAAAAAATACTACCCTTCCTCTTCATCATACGCCTCAAAGAAGGACGCGCGCGTTTCCTGTCATGCGTACGAGTATGGGCAGGTCACAGGGCCTCCCATTGGAGGTTTGGGGTTCTCTTTCCTTTCAATTAGATACAAATGAATGCGAGTAGTGGAAAGGTATGCATATCATCAAAACTTGTTTTACAAGAAACAAAAAATCGATTTTGTCGTTTATTCTAAATGCCAGAAATCGAACATATGTATACATTGGCGCTTGAATTTTTTTATTTTTTTTTATAATAACTGATCTGTATATTTAATGATATTTGATGGCATATTGTACAGAATAAAAAAAAAATGAAACAATTGTTATGATCGAGTGTGGTACTCGAACATAACAATGGTGTCTTAAAAAAAATTGTAACGACATTTATATTCCATATATATCTGCTTTGAAATTAATCAATATTTTCTCGATGTTAATCTAGTTCATTCAGAAAATCATCATTTAAGTTAAGTACTTTTATTTGGCTTACTTAATTGGAGATCGAGTTGTGGACGTTTCCAGCGTGTATTTTACATCATACTCTGAATATATATATATTATCATGTATTTTCAAACTTTGTTGCTTCTACTATGTTGATCATTTTTTTAGACTATAGTCACTCTTATGAATATTCTTTTTGTTTTTGCTAGTCAGAATTGCTACATAAACTCTTAGTCAAGAAAAAAGTGTCTTGTCGTCTCTCACATTAATCACCTCCTACGATCATGCAGTGGGTAACAGCAGGTGTATTCTTTTCTCAATCCCCAACCTGCTGGGTTGCCATACCATCGGAGAGTAACTATTGATAAATAGATATAATATACACAACACATGAAGACTTATATGAAATTGAGACAAATTATGCAGATTGAGCCAGTGTTCGACCAACTTCGCGAGTCAAGGGTGTTCAATACGATACTCTCCTAAGTATCGTATTGAACTCCCTTGGCTCGCGAAGTTGGTGTTCGACATGATGAACGTTTTACAAAATTTACAATTGGACCTATTTTGGTATTATATTAGTTTGCGAGTATGATTAATTGTATAGGTGGTTACTTTCAGAAATCAATACACGTCTGGGCGCCTTCCGCAGGCTACACAATAGTATGTAACTCTAAACAGAGTCCAATGACGTATGTGTCATGAATAACCCTTAAGGGAACACATACAAAGCAAACATTAATAATTCAAAAATAATTGCACAATGTCTGTTTAGAACGGAAATGGTAGGAATATTTTGTCAAAATATCATACAATTTGAGTATAGTCAATGCCTATTTTAGCAAACCAAATGATACAGTTGGTACATTATACATGAATACTATTGATACATCCTTTTTATTCAAAATAGACAGAATCTAAGAGGGAATTTTCATCCATGATCATAAAATTGTCATTAGTTTAGTTTTATTGCATCCGGTGGTATTTTTAATTTTTGTGTCCCTATTCCTTTTTATAAAAGCAGCTAAAGCTTAAAATAAAATGCATGCATGCAACACTTCAAAGAACCTACTTACGAAATTTAAGGTCAAGATGGATGAACCACTATAGAAGATATTCCGGGGACAAACTTTCAAAGGTCAAAGTGTAGGTCACAGTGGTCTTCTTCTTGTACTCTGCTCTCTGCCATCCCAAGATAATGTTATACCAAATCTGTCATCCAGGTGAATCAGTAAAGATATATGTGCTCTGCAATCCCAAGTGGTACTGTAATACGAAATCTGTTTTTTTCAGGTGAAATAGTATAGAAGATATACCAAAAGTCAATGCATAGGTCACAGCGACCTACTTTGTACACTGCTATCCCAAGATGTTCTTGCATACCAAATCTGGTTATTCCAGGTGAAATAATATAGAAGATATGCTTTCAACTTTTCAAAGATGACGTTCAAGGGTCAAAGCGTTGGTCAGTGGTCTTCTTCTTTTACTCTGCCATCCCAGGTGTAATAGTATACCAAATATGGTTATCCAGGTAAAATAGTATAGCCGACAAAACCCAGACAAAAATGTTCAAATGTGAAGATCAAAGGTCACAGCGTTGGTCACAGTGATCTACTTATTGTACCCTGCATTCTGCAATCCCAAGATGCACTGTTATACCAAATACGGTTATTCCACATGAAATAGGGTAGAAGATATGACTTTGACAAACTTTTCAAAGGCCCAGCTCAGAGGAGTCAATGCAAAGGTCACAATAACCTTTGTACTCTGCCTTCCCGAAATGTACTTGCACACCAAATCTAGTTATTCCAGGTGACATACATGTGAAGAGAATTAATTGTACAAATGGAATATCGACAGACTTTTTTAGAAATAAATATGAGTCTGTAACTGTCAAATCAAAGGTGGCTGCCTGGAGGCTATCTTGTTCTCTTGAACAATCTAATTAAAGGGCTATCATGTTCTGATAACCAGTCACTTGTTTGGAAAATAGTGATAAAAAGTCTTTGCGGTTGAAATGCCACATGGCTGCTGGTGGCAATCTCCTTTTTCAATTCAGTCTCAATATTCAACAAGGCATCACAGGTGATACAAATCCCCTCACATTCACACATTGCAACATATGCATGGGAAATGAAGTCGCTAGAGCGATGACAAGTTTTTTTTCTAAAAACAGTAACAGTAACCTTGACCTTCAATGTAGAAACACGAAACAAGAAATTGTTTAAGGTATTGTCGTACTTAACACTGGTATTAAGGTTCATGAAATTCTGTTGAGGAATAATGTCAGTAGAGCGATGACAAAGTTTTTCTTAAAATAACAAGAGGCCCAGAGGGCCTGTATCGCTCACCTGGATACCTAAGCAATCATGGCAAACTATTCTCTAAATGAGATCAAGAGAATATGCCAGACCACAAGACCAATCCTTGTAGCATAGCTATATTAGATTTTTCATGCCCAGCAATTTTATGTATGGTTATGGGGTGGGGATCTCAACTGTTTCCAAGCTTTGACTCAGAAACAAGGTCCCTAGAGTTGTGGCCAGACCCCAGGATCGATTCTAATATCGTGACTGCATTTGTCTCTTTTTGCCAAGCATTTGTATATATAGTTTTGGGGTGGGGATCTCAACCGTTTCAAAGTTATGACCCAGGGGCCAAGTCTGCAAGGGTGGG